TCGATAGTGAACAGCCTGTTTTAACTGCTCTGGAGAACACAAAGCAAAGGATTGTTCGAATATGAATGCTGTAGCTTGTATAAATTGCATCCGCTTCAGTCATAAAACAAATAACAGTCATAAAAAAGTGAATGTTAATCACAAGCCCTTTTCAGAATGCTGTCCTAGTCATGATTTTATGAGAAAGAACATTCAATCTCGAATTGATTATGGCTAGATTGACTAGATGCATTCTAAAGTGTGTGCAGAATACCTTCATAAATCTAAATCTGTGACACAACAGCTCATTTTAAATATGGAAGCTGATAATATTGACTGTGCTTTGGTTCAGGAGCCTCATTATCATAAGAATTTTCTTCCAGGATATCCTGGCACTTTTATAGACTTTATTGTGATCCTTAATTCTGACGAATGTAAAGGCTGCAGGCATCATCATTCGATCACGTGATCTATCAACATTTCTTGATTATAAAAATACGGATTACAATATGGTCACCTTGGATATTATTGTTGGCACAACTGTGCTCACTCTTTTTTCATACTATTTTGAACCCTCAAGAAACATTGATTTAGATCTTCATAAAATTAGTCAAGTCTTTATGTCCAAAAATCTTAATCGACTGGTTTGGTGTATGGACTCTAATGGCAAATCTGAATTATGGTTTAGTCCCTATTCAGACTCTTGTGAAGATAAGCTGAGTGAATTTATTTCTGCCAACAATCTATTTGTTATTAATGAAGATTATGGACCTACGTTTCAGGCAACTCAAGGTTCTAGTTATATTGATGTTACTGTTATTGGCTCATCTTCTCCAGGATGTTTCGAGTTGGCGGCTGTCTGAAAAAGAATCCCTTTCTGATCACATGATGATTGAATTTGAACTTTGCCCTTCTACGTTCTTACGAGACACCTCAAATGTTCCTTTTAAAATCTTCAATACAAAGAAAGCAAATTGGGATCGTTTTCAAAAATTTTGTTCTTCTCGCGTCACCCATTTCATTGATATTCTTAACGACTGTACTGACGGTTCTTGCCTAAATACTCTTGTTGAGAATCTTAGTTCTGTTCTTCTCCAGGCATCTCTAATTTCCATACCTGTTAGGAATCATGGTAAGTACAATGTTCCTTGGTGGTCTACCGAAATGTTTTGTATGTAATGCCTCTAGGCGTGGGTTTCAGCGTTGTAAAAATCCGCCTCTTAGAGAACTTTATAAAGGTAAATATCTTGAATGTAGAAAAGTGTACAAATCAAAAGCTTGCAGATGCTAAATCTCAGTCTTGGAAAACATTTCTTTCGACCATTGATGTTCACAATGTATGGAAAAAGATTTACACATATGGAGTTAAAAGAGATTTCATGAAAGAAATTGAAATAACTGGTATTTGTCTTTCCACTGGAGAGACAACCAACTCTTTAGAAGAGACAGTTACTGCTGTGCTTCAGAAATCTTTTCCCTCGGATCTGGAGGAAAATGATGATGATTTGCATAAGGAATACCGTCAATCTGCGCGTACTTCTTATTCTTCTTTTGTTGATCATATGTTTTCCTGTGATGAAGTTAATAGTTATTTCAATGCTGGAACCAAATAAATCACCTCGTCCTGATTTTATTTCAGATGAGATTATTAAACAGTTTCCTCAATTTCTCCATACACTTTTTAACATTTGCCTAAATGTTCGCATTTTCTCACGTGTTTGGAAATATGCTCAAGTAAATCTTATTCCTAAAGGAAATGAGTCTAGGGTTCCTCACCTAGATAACCTTAGATGTATAAGTTTACTTTCTGCTTTAGGTAAGCGCTTGGAAAACTTATTAACAGAATTTGCTAGTATCACCGCCATGGAGACGTTCTTTCTGGTAATCAGTATGGTTTTACACCTCAAAGAAGTTCTGAAGACGCTCTTTCACGCTTGAATGAAATTGTTCAGAGAGGTAAAAAGAAAAACTTGCACACTATTTTGGTCTTTTGGGATATTAAGGGCGCTTTCAACTATGCGTGGTGGCTTTGTATTCTCAATCTTTTCAAAAGAGTGGAACTTCCAATGAATATTTTTTCACTTGCTGCTGACTTTTTAAAAGATCGGATGGCCAAACTGCGATTGGGCTTGGCTTCTGCAATCCATCACTTTAAAAGGGGTTGCTCTCAAGGCTCAGTTTCAGGACCTACATTTTGGAATATTATTATTAATGATCTCCTATCAAAACTGAAAAATCTTGCTTGTTGTGATACTATAGCCTTTGCGGATGATGTCTTGTTTTGCTTCCAGAGTAGGGACCTTTCTGCTACTTTTTTACAGGCACAAGAAACTTTTAAATCTCACCTCCGACTGGTCAAAGGGATTTAAATTAGACTTTAATCCTGATAAAACCAGGGTTATGATTATTGAAAAGAGAAACATCCGTTATGATGCATTTCAGTTATCTCTCGACGGCACCCCTTTGACTGTGGTAAAGCAAATGAAATATCTTGGGGTTTTTCTCAACTGTAAATTTTCTTGGAAGCAACACTTAACTTATATATCAGAGAAATGTGATAAATTACAGCATGGATTAAGTCGTATTGCACGCAACACATACGGTATTGATTACAATGTTCATTCACTTGTCTATAAACAAGGAATTGCACCCTTCATTATGTATGGCTCTAAAGTCTGAAGTATATCGCTCAAGAAAAAGATAAATTATAGATATTTATGATGCGTTCAAAGGCGAATACTTCTGTGGATATCGTACCGTTAGCTACAAGTCTGTTTATGCAATTTCTGGTTTTCCTCCAATTGACATTGCCGTTCTTCATTCTGTTGCTTATAAAGAAAATGTTTCTGCTTCTGCTGTCTCTCAGTTTGATTGTATTTTACCTCCATCTGATCTTCCTCCTTCAGAAAGAAATGCTGTTAATTATATTCAGTTTAGCAATAAATCGTAGATGATTCACCTGTAACTTGCTATACTGATGGCAGCAAAATTGATGGCAAGGTTGGTCTCGCATTTGTTGTCTTCAAAAATGGTCTTGAATTTGAGCACTTTCAATTTAGAATTAGAGATGAATGTACCGTTTTTATAGCTGAACTTTTGTGCTTAAACTTCGCCATCAAATGGGTCTCTGAACAAAATAGTGCTGTTTCAGACTATCTCATTTGTACTGATTCCCTTTCATCCTTGGAGATCTCAAAATGTATTTCTTCTTCTAATAATATCATTATCGAGATTCAAAAAGAACTGAAAAGCCTAAAAGATAAAAATATTTCGGTTGCATTTTCATTTGTTCGTGGTCATACAGTTGTTGTTGGGAACGAACGAGCCGATTTCCTTGCTAAGACTGCGACTAAGCGGGAAATTGACACTTCTGTCAATATCCCTAATTCCTTTTATAAGAAGGTCATGTATGAAAGTATTGTGGAGTCGTGGAACCACGAATTCATTAATTCAAATAAAGGGAGGTTAACTAAGAAATTTTTCCCTTCTATCAAGATGAGATTGTCATGTCATCACTTCTTCACAAATTATAAATTATCCCAATTTCTTACTGGCCATGGAAATTTCAAAAGTTATTTGAACAGATTTAAGTTGAGCTTCGAGTCTGTCTGTGATTGTAGCCTCAGGTGGAGAGGAGAATGTTGAACATGTGCTTCTTCTATGTCCTAAATATAAGAACGAAAGAAAAGTCTTGAAACTGGAACTGAAAAATTTTAATATTAACTGGCCTCCAGAATTTTACCAATTTATTTCCGAGAGAAGTGCTTTTAACACTTTTTGTCAATTCATTGTGAAACTTTGTAATCATCCTTAATTTGAATTCAGTTATTTCTTCTGTTTATTTTGTATCGTGTTTCATACTTACTTCTGTAACTCCTATGTGGTACATGGGGAACTTATTGTGTTTCTTTAATAAAAAAAATGTGTAAGTTTTGAAAAAAAAAGAAAGCTTGATTCCATTCAGAAATTAGCCTTGCTAACTTTCCGTTTCAAATTTAGGTATGTTTAATATTGGTCACCTAAATCATCAGTTAGAAAGAATTAAGGGATGTGTCATTAAAAGTTCTACTCTTTGATTAGAAAAAAGTTCACACACAATTTCCAAATTGCGTGTGTTCACAAAAAAATTCTTTCAAAATAGTGAAAATTTTAGTTTTGTAACTAGCATTTTATATATATTAATTTTAAAATTTTCGATCTTGTATCCACAAAATTTTTGTGAATTTCCCTTAGAAAGTTCTCCACAAAGGCTTGTCTCTCCATAGTCAGATTTCTTTGATATGTTTTTCTGTATTCGTTTTAACAAATTTCTCAAATAGTTTTTTTTTTTTTTTTTTTTTTTTCCCCCTCTAGTAATATCCAAAATGCGCTCAGCTACTACAGCAGTTAAATGTTGTTATTAAATTTTAAATGTATTTTAAGTATATTTCAAGCAACGTTAAAGTTTAATTTAGCAATATAATTAGCAGGGCAGTGATATAGTGTGCAGACTTCTCAGGTTCAGGAAAGTGACATATATGGTTTGTAATGTGGATTGTTTACTTCACCGTGTATTATAAGCATAATCATAAAGCATGTCTAGTCAAGTTGCAATTTAAGAATTGTCAAGGGACTTTCCAAATTAATGGCAAACTGGGAATATTCTTAAATTCCCCTGGTTGTCTTAATTCAATTTTTGAGGTGATGTAAAATATATTATCATCCATTTTATTTTATTATATGTGATAAAATGCTAAAGTTTTTTTTTCTTTTATTTACCACTTATTCATGTGCTGTATGTTTTTGGAGAACAAACTGTTCCTTTCTAAAATATTTCTGGTTTTTATGCATTCTGGACCAGAATAGTGAGAATAATTGTTAAATGCTGGTTGACTTGTATTTAATTCTTTTGGTGTTGGTATTCTAAATTGTTTTTATTTCTTATGACCAATTTTTATTATTGTGTTCATCTGTTAAATGTTTCTGTATTTTGTTAAGCCACAGATAAATAACTACTATAAAAGTATATGTAATTTATTTAGGCTTTATGTGTGGACCTAAAGTGATGGATAAGGATGGTATTCAAGCTGCTATGCATATGAGTCAAATAGCAGCTTATTGTAATAGACGAAACATTCAGTTGTATGACTTTCTTAAAGAAGTATATGTAAAGTAAGTTTTAAGCATTTATATAAAATTCCCATTAGCAGCTATTTTACTTACAACAGTATTGTATGCATGTTGAAATGGAAATGATAGTAAGTAACCTCTCGGTATTTATCTTTCATTATATTAGTATAAAACCCATTGATTATTTTTACCCAGCTAATCTGTAAAGCTCAGTGGAAATTGTCTTTCATTGTTTAGTAGGGTGCCCTAGCCGTTTTGCTAGGTGTGTTCTTTTAAAAACAATATCCCCCCTTAGTTTCTTATGCTGTAAATTATGGATGCACAACCTGTTGTCCATGGGCAAAATGTGGCCCACAAGTGGTCATGAGAAGAGCCACTCCCTGTGTCACCAAAGCAAGTTTCAGTGCCTGAGTGTGAAAACTACTGATAGCCTGTGCAGTATACAGATTAAGGAAGAGTCTGTGGTATGACGTAGCACAAGTGTATTTGCATGCAGGCACTAGTAAAAAGGGAGAGAAAAATATTTGCTCGGATTGCGAGCGTTGCATTAATTTTCTTTGCGTTGTTGCACTTTTGGCTTTGTGACTATGCATTGTTTTATCACTTGTATGTTTATTTTCTTTTCAAGACCATTAAAAAATTTCTTGCTTTGATAATGATATTTTGAAAGAGGAACCAACATAGAATTTTGGGTCGTTTTTGTTCCAAGCCCACCAGCAGCCGAGCGGTAAAGTCGCTGAACACTGGTAGTTCGGTCTGAGGTTCGAATCCCGCAAACGGGCTGGCTACATGGGCGTTTTCGGGGTTTTCTCCATGTGTAACATGTATACGATCCAGATTCCCTTAGAAAGTCCTCCACAAAGGCATCCCTCCCCCTTAGGCAGATAGCCCTAGTGTGCTTTGCCGTAATCACAATAAACCAAACCAAAATCATTTTTGTTCCACGTGGTTTTAATAGTTACTTGCCATGATAGATGGATTAAAAACAAAAAGATAGAGGGCAATAATAGGAAATTTTTGGAGACTGGGTCTTTGAGATACTTTTTTGTGGAGCAAGATAATAGAATTGCATGCTTGATATTTTACAACTAGTGTTTTCAAGAGTATAATATTACAATAAATGACACTATGACACAAAACACTCAACATTTTCAAAGCCTGAGGGAGCGGACTGAAATTGTAAAATAGAATCCCTTTGCCATTCCCTTGTTGCACGAAGGAATGTATTTACAAAGGCATCTTCACAATTAGATAACTGTGTTGAAGTTAGTTTGGGAATAGCAGCCTTCATTGCTTAAAGTGGCCGCCCATTTACTGAAGGTAATTTTTCAAAGAATTGTATAGTGTTGGCATCCAAAAAAGTATGCCCTGAAGCTATGAAGAAATTTAAAAATGTGAGTGTCAGCAGAATGGCAGTTCAAAGAATTGAAAACTTATCTGTTGATATTAATGAACAATTACAGATTGCTACTGCCAAGTTTAAGTACTTTTCTCTAGCAGCTGATGAGTCAACAGACATTACTTCACCTCAGCTGCTTTTGTTTGTTGCAAGAATTTCTGAAAATTTTGAAGTAACTGAAGAACATGTTGGAACAAGTTCAGTGAAGGGGTTAATAACTGGAGCTGATATTTTATCCTGCATTTTAAATTTGTGTCCTGCCCACAATTTTGATATTAACAAATTTATTAGTACAGTACAAAGTCCGTAATCCAGACTCGTTGGGACTTCGGTGATTCTGGATTAGGGTTTTTTCCGGATTATAGATCATCAATTTAAATCTGGTAAGATGGCATGCAGAAATTGTACAATTAAAAATATGAATCCGTAATTTATGAAATAAAGAGCAATTATGATCTTAAGGGTATCAAAATTTACAAAAAAAAAAGCTTAATATTTATTTGTTTACTTTATTAAACATTTCTTTCAATGTAAGTTGTTTAAGTTGCTTCTTTTTTTTGTGCTAATGCAGTCAAAAGTCATTAATCCGGACTCGTCGGGACGTCAGCGATTCCGGATTATCAATTTTTCCGGATTATAGATCATTAGTTTAAATCTGGTAAGATGGCATGCAGAAATTATAAAATTAAAAATATGAAACCGTAATTTATGAAAAAGAACAATTATGATTTAAAGGGTATCAAAATTTACAAAAAAAAAAAGCTTAATATTTATTTGTTTACTTTATTAAACATTTCTTTTAACGCAAGTTGTTTAAGTTACTTTGTTTTATGTGCTAATACTTTCTCTTTAATTCTATATAAACAGACATAATTTCTTGTTCAGTTACAAAGTTTCGCTACTCAAGTCCTGCAATTGGTGTGCCGAGAATACCGACTAACTTGTCAATCGAAATTTTTTTGTTTTCACTAACCTGTCTGTCACTTTCCCATTATCCATTTTTTGCAGCAATTCCACTTTTTTGTTTAATGGACATCGAAACATACTTTCGCTTTGTAAGATCCTTTGTTAGCTCCGGCATCAGAAATTCTATTTGACATAATCAAAAGTTCAAGCTTACTTTTATAAAATTGTTCTAACAGTCTGCAAAAAATAATAAGCCGGATCCAATTTGAAGATTAAGGAACAACGCAATCTGCAACATTAACTGAAATGGATAATTAGATAATTTTAGCTTATACCATCCGTTATACATTAAACGCTTATGCGTAAATGTATTATGCGCATGCGCACACGCATATGCGCAGCCGTAAAGGTCTTACACGCATGCATCAACGCCACACATGCGCAGAAAGTTTGTAGTTTTGAGGTCCGGATTATAGATCATTCCGGATTATGGGTGTCCGAATTAACGACTTTTTGACTGTACTTTCTCTTTAATTCTCTCTTCTATAAACAGAGATAATTTCTTGTTCAGTTACAAAGTTCCACTGTTCAAATCCTGTAACTGCTGTGTTGAGAATAGCGACTAACTTGTCAATCGAAATTTTTTCGTTTTCAGTAACCTCTCTTGTCACTTTCTTCACTATCAGAAGCGCGCATGTGTAAACACTTTACTGGCTTTACGCACATGCGTGGCAGACGCGTGCATCAAACACACATGCGTAAATGCATTACATGCATGCATAAGTTTGTGGCTTTGAGGTCCGGATTGTAGATCATTCCGGATAGTGGATGTCCAGATTACGGACTTTGTACTGTATCCCTACTGATGGAGCTCCAGCCATGATTGGAATTCAGAATAGCATGGGTAGTCTATTGAGAAACCATTTGGATGATCGAGGCAAAGATTTGCTTGTGTATCAATGTATCGTACACAAAGAACTAATGAACTAATTTGACTGCCTAATGACGGTAGTGAGTGATACCATCAGTTTTATTCACTCACATGATTTAAACCACAGGCAGTTTGAGGAAATCCTCGAACACACAGATTAACCAAATAGTGATCTCATAAATACTCTGAAGTACGGTGGTTCAGCCATGTAGAGGCTTTGAAGAGGTTTAAGATTTGATTGATGAATAATACAATTCCTTGAGGAAAAAGGCAAGCAAACTAGGATGTTAAAGAAACCATCTTTCAAATGTGACTTAGCATTTTTAGTGTATGTGAAACCTCATCTGAATGACATAAACTAAAAATTGATGGGGCAAAATCAGTTCATCAGTCAACTGGCCGTTGCAGTATGTTTTCAAACAAAAGTGGTTGTTCTTAGCTTAGCTGTCAAAATTTTGTCAATTTTCCGTACCTGAAGAACTCGAGGAAAATTTTCCTGTTAAACAACTGGATTATTCAGATCAAATAAAGATGCTGCTTACTTCATTTGAAAAGCAAATTACAAATTTTGAGGTGCATAAGGTTAAATTTAAAATGTTTGGGGATCCATTTCGTATTTCAAGCTTTGTAAGTTTAAATGTATGTTTGCATGCATTCTCATTAACAGATTTATTGAAAATCAAATTTAAAGTACTTCTGAGTAATTCTTTAAGTTATTTTATTGCCACATCCAAAAAAAAAATTAAGTAAATGATATTAAATGAGGTTATGTGTAAAATACAAACTACTTGTCATCTGAAAGCCAACAATTATGCTGAGGAAACACTGCATCTGGTGATTGTTTCTTTAATCCCGTCTTCAGAAATTGAGTGTAGTTTACTTTCTGCCCCCAGTTTTGAAGGAGATGCGATGGGGTTTAATATAGCACAGCTAATAATTAAAACTTTGAAAGAAAATTTAAATCCTCTTTATAGCACTTGGTGTCCACAATGCACTGGTAATGGTAGGCTTGAAGATTTCAGTCTTGCAAATTATGAATTGCTCCTGTCACTTATAATTATTAAATTTATTAGCTGAAAAAGGGGCAGCATCTTTGCCAAAAAGTGTGAATGAAAACATCATTGATATTTATTATTATATTGAAATGTGTTCTAAGAAAGGGAAATTATAACTATTTCAGCAGTTGCAGAATACTGAAATAAGAAAATTTTGAAATTAGAATGTACATGCTGGTTATCTTTAGAGTAATGTTTGTCTAGAATCCTCCATCAATGGAACTCACTTCTTACGTTTTTTAAGGAAAAATTAAATACTTCTAGAGTTAAGATAAAAAGGCTCTATTGAAAGTTATAAAATACCTACTTAGGTAAAGTTATTGCTGCTAAATGCCCAGTAGCTGCATGGGCATATAGGTTTCTCGCAAAGCATGTCGAAAACGATGTTCCTCCAGCAGAGCGGAGGAAGAAGTCTGCTGGCTGAGCAGTGTGAGTCAACAGTGGACTTAGAGTTGCCAGAAAGTAGCAGAGAAATGCAGGGTTGCTAGATTTGGCGTGAAATCGCCCGTTTGGCGATATTTGGCGACAAAATTGGCATTATGTCACAGATGGAGCGAGCACAATCTAGAATGCATTTTTTTGTGGTTTTTCTTAATATTCTTGAAGGTAGACTAAAGCTATGTGTACCCTGCCTGTACGGTGAGAAAATAGTGTGTCGGGAATTCAGAGATTTGCTTGATAATGATCAACCTAGTCAGCAGCTGTATTTTAAAGTTTTGCTGTGAGGCTGACTTCACTATTATAGCATGAAGGCTTGTGTTGTTGATTGTTTCAGCTTGTTCATCGTTGTTTTTCGACGAGTGTAAACATGAACTGTCCTCTATAATAGTGCTTACTGGCGAATAAATTGTGTTTTTTAGTTCTTCATCAAGCATTATCTTCAATTATTCCAAACAAAATGGAATTTTAATTTACAGTGAATTGTTTAGAATAATGTTGGCTATCCTTAAAATTCCCCATACCAATGCAGAGTGCGAGAAAAGTTTTCAGTAATGTTACTAAAATAAGAACTAAATTTAGGTCCAATATTAGTAATGTCCTATTAGAAAAATTTTCGGTTGATCTTTACAATATGGTAACTGGTAGTTTGGCGACATTTTGGAGGCGATAAAGGTTACTACCTGGGACTTTGGTAATAATGTGAGCAGTACTCAGTTCCAATTACGCATTATTTTGTGTGAGGGAAATGAGAAATCATGGGATATGTCATGTGATATTAATGGACGAATTACGGTTCTTGAATCGGAAAGGGGGGGGAAATCGGGAAAAAATCTGGAAATTTTGTATTTGGTTTATTTCTGTGTTGTGTGAAAACAGTGTACGTGAATTTTTGGATCCCATGGCCGTAACTAAAGAAAAGTTTATCGGACACGTAATCAAGATTCTGAAGAAGATTAGGTAAGTTAGTATTTTTAATTATTTGAGGATATTATTTATGCATTGTTCTAAATGTAAGGTGGAAGTAAAGGAATTTGGTATTATTGGGGAAATTGTTATTAGCAATGATTTAGTTTAAAGTAATTAGGATTGTAAGGTAATTTTTATTAATTTTATGTATGTGCTCATTTATATTTTAAGTAGTGTTTTTGAATTTAATTATATTTTAATTAAATGATAGTTATTTTGTGAATTTTATGTTTGTAGGAATTTGGTATACGTTATCAGGTAATTTCATATATGTTCTTTTTACCGGGTTTAAAGATTGAGAAAATTGTCATGTATTTTCGTGAAATTTTTCTAATTTATGAGAAAAAAGCAGTGTACATGGATGTAGTGAAGAGTGTGCGCAGTGCCATTTTTGTGCAATTCTGGGGTGTTTTTTTAAGTAAAAATAAGTCTACGAGTACATGGTTTAGTGATATTTTAATTAAATGATAGTTATTTTGTGAATTTTATGTTTGTAGGAATTTGGTATACGTTTGAGTTGAAGTAAACGTGCATGGAAATAATTTAAATATTTGATACTACGTATTTGTAATGCTTGCGGTATGAATTCGTTGGTGACGTGTATAATGTAATAGATGATTTAGAGGTAAAAGTTTTTGGATATTTTATTTATTTTATATGTGGAAATGTTCATATTTGGAAAGGGTAAATACCTTTTCGCGATCAGGTAATTTCATATATGTTCTTTTTACCGGGTTTAAAGATTGAGAAAATTGTCATGTATTTTCGTGAAATTTTTCTAATTTATGAGAAAAAAAGCAGTTGTACATGGATATAGTGACGAGTGTGTGCAATGCCATTTTTGTGCAATTCTGGGATTTTTTTTAAGTAAAAATAAGTCGGCGTGTACATGGTTTATGTGTATGTGGTATTTTGAAAAAACGCGTAAGGAGTATGGTATTGTGCCTTTTTTCCCAATTTTGCAGTGAATATTTGTCATGATTAAGCAGTTTTGTTAGATAAAATTTCTAGCATAAGTGTAATTCGGCTAGTAGATTGTTGGAAGAAGTGTTCAGTAGATAAAAAGAAAAGAAACATGTCTTTACTTCGTGAAGACAAAATGGCGGCGGGAAAAAAAAATATAGAGTTGCTGTAGGAGAGTTGGTCGCCAAATTTTCGCCAAAAAACGCCAAGTTACCATAATGTAAAGATCAACCAAATTTTCATTAGCAAAAACAAGTTAACCCAAAGAGTTTCCTCCTTCATGAAAGCAAAATGTGCATTTCTCAGCATTTGTACCAAAACTGGTTAAAGTATTATTTTTCTATTAAAATGCATAAATATTAAAGAAGTTTGATAATGTAGGTATTTTTACTATTTGCATTTAAGAATTAGTAACTGAAATTTCAGATGTTAATTAGTTATTATATAAAGTTGATTCATTATTAAAAGTAGATGATGTTTTTTGTATATTTTTATCATTTAAAAGAATCTTTTTGTCATTGAGGAAAATTCTGATTTCTTAAACAAATCTCCTTATTTTTTAGTGCTGTATGTTTGCAAGTATGTGGTATTTTTTAAATATACCAGTAGTAATGAATTGTTTATTGTTAATTGTGATTTTTTAACATGTACACATAATGTCATCCTTATACTTTAGTGCTGTGCATGTTAAGACCTTTAATTATGAAAAAATTATTTGATGTTGAGCAATAAGAGAAAACTATTTCATAACATTTTCTTGAAGTCATTATCTTAAATTTTAGGCTCGTTACAAAGTGTTTTGATGGTCACGAATAAATGTATTTAATTGTCTGGATCAAGTTAGGAAGTAGTTTGCTTTGAGAAGCATCAAAATTGATGCCTACTTACCTTCTTAGAAATGCTGCTCACTTTTAGAGATTACCATAAAAGATTTCACCATACGATTATTTTTATCTACATGTGAATAGCATTTCAACATCTAATTTTTTATCATTATGTAATTTTAGAAAAGTTTTTTCAGTTTACTTAAATATTGAGAATTTATGGTTCAAAGACTTTCCTTGCAAGTTGTCACTATACAGCCATTTTTAAATATCAGAAATATTTGTGATATAACATGCAACACAAATTTTTCTGACCTTATAAGTAAATAAGGTTCTTGGGACTTTCAATCAGATCATTTATAATTGCACAGTTATTTTTGCTTAATGTTAGAGTATTAGATAAATTAATTTTTAATATCTTCATATTAATTTTACTATGTATTTAAAGCATGAAAACGTTTTTCGTTTATATCAGTTTATAGGTATATTTCTTGTATGTATATGAAAAATATCATCATGTGTAAAAGACATTTGTTGGCAAAGGTTTTTTCCCCCCTTTTATGTAATTTTGTTTCATTACCTATCCCCATTTCTGGGTAGGGTGAGAATACACTTATTATGACAGGACTACATACAGAAGTTGTCCAAAATAATGGAAAGATCAGATGGAAGAATTGTACACTTTTAACACAGGATGGGAGCACCTTTGGCATCCAAAACTGATTGAAATCGTTTTGGAATGGAAACATACAAGTTCTGAATGTTGCCATTATGTATTTTATGCCATTCTTCTGTCAGAAACTGTTCCAGTTCTTTAAGAGATGCTGGGAAACCAAAAAAGGGGACCTCACTTTTTCCAGTACTGATTATTGATGGCTCATAATATAGTCACTTAAAATGGTTATATGCAGTCAATGACTTTTATTCTTTCTTATAAAGGTATGAGAAGCAGACAGTCTGGTCCTCAAGGTTTTGCTAATGTTTTTTACACAAAAACTCATCCTGGTGTGGGAAATAGAGTAAAGGTTGGCTCATCTGAAAAAAGTGCTTGTTTCCATTGATCGACGGTGTATATTCTTGGTACTATTATAATCTCTGTTTTGCAGTTCTGTGTGAAACGAGATTTTGAGAAAGCAGCTCTGTTGTAAATATATTGCTTATGTTTTTAAACTGGGCTTTGTATATTCATGTTAAATCTGACCGGTTGCCCCCCCCTTTTTTTTTTTTTTTTTTTCATTTTGATGTAATAGCATCCTTCTGTCTCAATCAGTAAGTTTCTTTTTTGTCCCACAACTATTTCTCACTGACGATCTTCTATATTGTTATGACTTTAGACACAGTACCTTTTCACATCCCCAATAAACCACAATTGAAATTTACAGCTTTACACAACCTTGAAAAGTTATGTAAAATAGCCATACGAAAACAGTGATATTTCCTTTGACCACTTACTTTCTAATGAATAAAAGTAATTTTTTAGTTTCGTATAACTTTTTTTAAGTGTAGCGTTTCCATTATTTTGAACACCCTCTCTCTGAATTCCAAGTCTTAATTGAGAATATTGTGGAATAATGCAGAGTTTTGTACCCTTACTATCAGCTAACCTATAGTGTGTTTGGCATTAGATGCACATTTTTCTCCAGGCTTCAGACTTTAGCTGAATGATACGGTAGTTGGCTTTGCACCATACCACATGGGAAGCTTTAGACCCAAACATTTACTCATAATAAAAAGCCATTACAGTAAATGTTATGTACAGTTTTAAATGTTTAAATAGATATGATTAATTTATATTTAGGTATGGCTATCATGTTTCCTGCAATTCCTATTTTATTTGTGATAATCCAGATGCTATAAAAAAGTTTTTTGAAAAGTTAAGGAATTACAAAGGCCAGGAAGGAAAGGTGATTCTTTTATTTTCTGTTTTTTATATTTAAATTCTTATATATTTAAAGTTGTTATGCTTATATGTGATTCTTTTCTGCAGTATCCTGAACGCCTGGAGTATTTTGATATAGGATGGTTTGAGTGGATATATTTTCCTGTGAAAGATGTCAGAGATCTTACAACTGGCTACGATAGCAGAGAACCTGATCAAAAGGCAGTATGTGGAATTACATTACTGAACTATTATTTTTTAATATTTAAGAAAAATTGTATGATTTTAAGCAATATTATTTTCAAGTTTTCATTGTTCTAAAGCTTAGTCTTTTTCATGATAAATTTAATAAAATTTTACATTTTAATTTGTATATTTAATTTTGTTCTTAATTCATTAATCTTCTTGATGCTTAATAAAAGCATGAAAAAGTTCTCTGAAAAAAAAAAAATAATGTAACTGTTAAAGCTGTAATCTTCTATTTATTACTAATATTGGATACTTTAATGGGAACTTTTTCATAATAATTTTCATTAAACATTTTTAGTCGCATATATTATTTATTATTACATATGAGCTATAACATGATTAAATGTATACATGTGTTTACAAGTCATTGAAGATGCTAGATATTTAGTAGAGCATCTTGTTTCTCAAGTTCAGTAAACTTTTCATGTTTATTCCACACAAACCAAAGGAAAGGAGGTGTTGAACATTATTCACTTTACTATTCAGAAAATGATTTAGAAAGGAAATGTATGTGGTTTATTGCGATAAAAGTAGATGAAACAGAAATTTCTTAAGACTAGAAACTATAAATTTTGCTCACATGGAAATATTTTTCAGAGTGACATATTTTAATTCATGAAGTGTATAGCTATGATGCTTACTATAAAATAAAATTATTTTAGCAAGTAATATTAAAAGTCTACATATTGAATTCCGGTATATGTTTCTGTATATACAGTATGGCTCTAATGTGTGCAGTTTATGAAAGAGACACTTCTGTATCTCCCATTCTAATTAGCCGTGCATCTGTCATCTTACTCGATGAACAGAATTTCTTCCATTAACAATGCAAAACTTCTCTCATAAACATGGTAATAAAATGTGTACCCCATCATGCATAATTTTCAAATGTCTCTCTGATAAGAAGTTCTACCATTCAATGCTTTCCAGGAAGAATAATAGGAAATCTGAAGTCTTGTATAGCATCTAGTTTTTCCTTGATTTTATAAATCCCTTCTTCATCCTTAAAGATATTTAATGACTTCAAAATTTTAATATGATAAAGGGAAAAGAAAGATTTCATCAAGAAGAAATTGATGATGTAAAATTGCTCTTTTGTTTAGTTATGCTCTCACCCGTGTTTTTCGGATGCAAGCCAAAGGTGAATTGGCAGTCACCTTTAGCTTGTTTAATAGGCTTAGCTAAACTAGACGGTCATAATTCCATGCGTTTGGCAAATGTATGGTTGGATTTATCAGCCCATTTTAAAGTTGGCCATGCATGGGTTTCTAACTGAATTTTTGCTGCAGAATCCTGTCTTTTGCCTTACATTAAAAATATAGAGTATAGGAAAATTCACAGAGAGAATAATGTCTGATCTTGAAAAAGTGCTTACCAGTATTGCTACACAAATTGAAAATGGCATTGGCAATGATGTGTCGGTTGAAGAGAAGAATACTTCAAAGATGACAACATTGAATAATCTCTTAAGTTCACTCCGCCCTCACTATATGTATGTATATAAAGTTCAGAAATATTTTTTACAGGCATTGTTATGTGTTATTGAGACTTGGAAAAAAAAACTTCTGTTAGAATGTTATTCAGTATATCTGTATTCTAGGTTTTGCCATATGGTCCAACACAACAAATGATTACCTTCTATTTTGAAAATGGATGTGAAATGACACTTAGGACATCTGGCACCGAACCGAAAATCAAATATTATACAGAAATTATTTCTACAAAGCCTGAATCGTATGTATACGTTATACTATTTTTTTTTTAATTTAAAAAATTTTAATGGTTTTTTAAACTTTAGAGAACTACAACAAAATTATTATTTTATTTTGTCATTTCCATTTCAGCGAGTGGAAAAAAGTTGATGAATTGCTGCACAAGATGGTTGAATTGCTAATAGAACAGTGGATTCAGCCTGAAAAGAATGGTTTTAGCTCTCGACCTATATAATTTACATCCTGTAAAAATGTTATTTTTCAGTAGTTTTACTTTTGTTCTTTCATTCCTCTTGTTTATTAATGATAAGTTCATCTTTTGTGATTGTACAAAGTAAACGTGAAAAACCTTATGCATAATATTTTAAACTGCTCAAAACATTATCATTCATTACAGTCTAAGATACACAGCTGCCTTTTAGGGAGATCTTATGTGCAAATTTTCCTAAAATGTGCACAGAAGTATTTAATTTTTGTTTATATACATTGCTAGTCACATAGTTTTACAGTTAGTTAAACCTAGTCAATGGCATAACATTTTGCCTGTCTTTAACACAAATGATTTAGCTTTTGGTGAATTTCCTAATGAATTCTTGTTGTGTCTGAATGACTTAAGATTAGATTTATTGCAAAAATGGAATACTAATATATTTTTTCTGTGATGAAGGATATGCAATAATACATATGAGAAACTTACGTTGTTGTACTCATGAAATCGCCAAAAAATAAAATTTAATATAGTTGATCTAGTCTTTGTTTTGTTTTTTAAAATAAGATACTGTATATCTGAATAAAGTTTATGCGAGTTTTAAAATCTTCCCCCCCCTTTTAAATTTATCTTTTTAATCCGCTTAAAATTGGTTTCGTTGTGTGAATTAGCATATTGATAAAATGATTGTTTATTTCCTCATTTTAAAAGTAATTCATATTTAAAAGTTCCGAATGCACCTAATATTAATGTGTGTCGAATATAGATATATTATATATATATATATAATGGGTATGAACTAAATTATTATTAATAGTGTTAATGTCTGCTTATATCACATAAAAATATTTGATTAGTTTATGCATTCCTCATAAATCTTTTTGTTATATTTTTAATATGAGAGTTAAATTATATGAAGAGATCTCCATAGAGCATGCAAATTTTAATGTTGCTTTAGTGTCTGTGATTCAATGCTGTAGTGTGAATAATCTTTAAAGACATTCGACAATTTTGCTTTGTTTAATTTATGTGTGTAATATATTTCATATGTTTTAAACAGCTCTGAGTGCTTTTCTAAGAGAGCACTGAGAAAAGCTCTGAGTGCTTTTCTAATTCCTTTAAAAATTAAACTGCCTTTCCTATTATAGGGAAATGATAGTTGTTAATTTTAAAATTTACCTCAACTGAATAACAGTTGTATAGTAGTAGTAATATATATATATGTGTGTAAGATAAAAAGATATATAAATCAAAATTCTAATTTTAATTTTGCAGCTTTCCTTTGGCTATTTCTGCTTTGTGTCCAAAACATAACTGCTTACAATAAGCCTATTTAAATGGTGTCAAATTTAAATTAGTCTCTGTGATATGGTTCTTACATGATGCTAATGTGACACTTTTGTGACATTTTAGACAACAACGATTTCAAATTTGGGAGCCAAAATTTAATTTTAGTGAATGGGAACAAAATTGGAACTATATCATCTGAACTGATATTTTATCTTGAATATGTTGCATTCTGTCTCTAACTTTGCTACTGCCAGCTTGCTAATGCCTGCTGCTGCTTCAGATATGCTTCAAAAGTTTAAAAAGGTACCAATATAGTTCTTCAAGATGAGGTGCACTTACTGTGCCAATTTGTGTGCTTAAAAAATGTTTGTCATCTAAATTTACTAAATATTAAACTGCCCATGACTGCAAGTATCTCCCTCTTGTCTTCTAAATTATTATTGTCTGACAGAATACCCGGAGTCTGCTAGAAAATTCCTGCATCAATGAAAAGTTCATCTACCAAATAAATGTGTTTAATGTTCAGTCTTCTCTTCTGAACTATTATTGTTATACTGTGCTTAATCCAACAATTTATGAAAAAAAAAGGGATATCTGAAAATCCAGTATTGCCTGTTTTAAAACACAGTTTTCAACAGCAAACATCATCCTGCATTTACTTTTTTTTTTGCATTTCTGCAGATTTTCTTCTGCTAATCATCCACAGTGAAATATCGTTCATGATTAAAAGTTCTAATTTCCAACAAAATTTAACTCCTCCCATATTTTTGTTAAATTGGGTTATAGTACTAGGTTGCAAAATTTGAGATTTTTCTTTCAAACCTTTCTAATGCCTTGAAACGTGGATTAAAGGCTCTATGTAACCAAATTTTGTTGCTGTTGTTGCACACTTGTTATCGTTCCTTTTAACTATAGTTATTTCATTCCTTTCGTTGAAACAGTAGTCATATGTACCAGGATTTTTCTTTTTTAATATCGTATCATGCATGAAAGGGCAAGAAGAAGCATATCTGTTGTTTCTAATTCTGTCCATGTCTCTGAATCCTTATGTTTTTAATTCAACCAGCAAATCATAAGAATTAAAAAATTGTAAAAAAATACAATGTTGCTATTGAGATGAATTACAGGTTGTGGCAATTTTTTCACTACTCGTGTTCCAAGCGGTTCTTTCGCTATAGTTTCAGGAGTATTGTCAAAACTCTCCGCACCACAATATAAGTCAAAATTATAACAGTACTTCACGCATGGCCCAAAATTTATAGCCTAACCGTATGGATTTGCCTTTAAGAAATTGTTTGAAAAAATGCTAATTGTAATATCCAATCATCATTTCATCAACAGATAGAAATTTACCAAAAATTCCGAATTTTTTAAAACTATGATTAATATGCATGATTTATTGTGAATGTCCATTCCGATTTTTACATTGCTGCACAACTACTGTTAGCAAAATGGATTACAGATTTAATTTCTAAATACTTATATCGAGACATTGCATTCTTTATCATCGATACCATGATATCTTCTTCCTTGACCAGTAATCATGTTCGCTACATAAAGTATGGTAGCCAGACAAAATTAAAAATCCAACAAAACTCTTCAACTCATCAATTATATCTGAAAACTTTGGCTTATTTTTCCACTTTTTCACATATCTTTCTGTCTCATTTATTATAAATTCATAAAATTCAGGAGTTAAAAATTCTTTAAAAATTTCAAGTGGATTCATATTTTCTATAATATTTGAAATGCTCTTAAGATTTCAGCAGACAAATTACCATCTTTGTTAAAAGCATAAGTAGGGTTATTTTTTGGTCCAATTCGCTTTTAAGTGATGTTATTTTGGCGCAAGTGAAACAAGTCTTTTCATTCCCGGTTGTTAAAACTGAAATAGTTTTTTCATCTATTGAATTAACAGTGCTCGGAGGACAGTCAAAACTAACAGGATCTTCATCCATAGTAATTATTTGCCCTCTTTTCAAATATTGTTCTTTAATTTTCTTGGATGTCTACTCCAAAAAAGCTATCTTTTTTTCAAGCCAGTCTCGGGAAGCTTTTGTCCAACTGTTGTTTTGGTCATGACAGATAATTTCTTTAGCTTCATGAACTTGAAACATCAATTAGGTCCTCCAACAAAATTTTTAATGCCATTTGGCAAGCAATTTGCTTTGCTTGAAGGCAAATTCTAACTGTTGATGCTGATAATCCAATTTCTCTCCAATCTGTTGTCTATTTCTCTAAATTATCTGCCAAAAAGTGCCAGGCTATGACATCAGTCTGAAGAGACCTCTTATTCTTTGGCATTTTCTCTTAATTCTTCTCTTTTGGACTTCCACCGCCGAATATATCGCTCGTCAACTTGAAATTCTTTAGCCGCAGTGCAATTTCCAATTTTGATCGCTTTCTTCACTATCGAAAGCTTTAAAGCAGCTGTATAACTTTTTCTTCGAGTAGGAGCCATAATAATATTTTTAAAGTGTGAATGATAAAGTAAACAGAAAGCAAGCTACACAGGAGGACACAATTTTTAACGTGTAAATATGAACTTGGCAAGTAATCATTGCTATTTCCATTAGAAAACATGTCACAGTAAAACATGGGCAAAACCATAAAGTTTAGCAGAAAGTACATGCATTACCATGTCTTTACATAGAGCGTCACCTAACTAGAATTTGAACTTCATGCAATCTGAGGTTAGAGTATTGCCGTGAATTCTTTCTGTTTCGCTTGTGCATAACTTACAGTCTGAACTAGAGAAGTTTTAAGGAGAGAGGGAAAATAAAATTCCGTCAGATACTCTGCAGACCTAAATTTTCAACTTTTAAACACGTATATGCCATGGCTTATCTACCCAAAATAATGGTAACTCGTTTTTGATTTTCATTTTCATTACTGACGCTAGATGCAAATGCCAGTTGCTCCGTAATATTAGGTCCAAAGTCTTTTTTTTTTTATTCACATTGTTCTTTTACCTCTATTTCCTCCTAACCTTTCCTAAACAAATTTCTACATCACCTGACAGATCTTTTACCTGATGGAGTAATGATTTCACCATCATCAAAGTGCTCTTCATCAGTTAACTCAACCACATCAAGTGGCAAAGCAAATATATCTGATTCAATCTCTTTAGAAAACGTATATTCTAATACTTCTTCAGTGATGTGAAACACCTTATAGACACACTGGACATTCTGGAAAAAATGAGAAGGGGAAAAAACAGTATTAGTTACCACCAAAGCCCAGCAACGTATTTATAGATTGGCATGTTTAAGCTAAAAATTTAATTATAAGAACTGTTATTTTTCTAATCTAAATAACGCAGAACAGTTAAAGCGGTGTTGAAAATGTAGAACACATAAAAAAAGTACAGCTTACTTTTAATTTTTTTTTCCCTTTGGATACAAAATCAAAAGATGTGCTCTGAAGCATCACATGGCTTACTTCAGACGTTATCTGCTGGACTGTTGGAACATTCTTTCCTTTGGGGTGTGGCCACATGTGTAAGGAAATTGGCCAATTACAAGAAGTGATTAAAACATATTGTTCTCAGAGGGCATTCTAAAAGTAGGTGATCTGTAAATAGATCACTGGGTGGTAATGGGTTAATAACTAGATTTTCTTCGCAGCAATATTAACAGGAGTGTATGGATGAATAAATCCTCCATTCTCAAATACATTTATAAATAATTTAATAGGTATTTATGCATTCATTTAAAGGTAAATGCAGGTTTTTTACACGAAAATGCCTAAATTTTTCATTTTCAGCAGTGCAAATCTTTATTTTCTGTGCATTCACTATATACTGGAGAACCAAAACATTATGACCACCTACTCATTAATGTGTTGTGCAACCTTTGGCCTGCAAAGCAGCTGCAACTCACCTTGGCATGAATGTCAGAAGTTCTTAGTAGATGATTGGAGACAAGTTGTGTTAAATGTCTAAGCAGCAGTCATGCAACGTCGAGCTATTCCGACGTGGTGGTGTTTGAGCTCTGAGCTGCCACTTCATGATATCCCGACTGTGCTCTATCAGTATAAGATCTGGCAAGTTAGGTGGCCAGGACATTAATTAGAATTCATCCTGATGCTCCTTGAACCACTCATACAGTTTGTGCCTTGTGACGGGGGCTTTGTCCCAAGTGCAAGATTCCATTTCGGTTGGGAAGACAGATACCATGTAAAAGTGAAACTGATTCGCAGTTATGTTCAGATGATCCGCAGCTTTCATGTTCTGGTATACCACAACTAAGG